ATTGGCCCATTCTCATATCAATATTTCGCGTAATCTTTCTTGGGTTATTTCCTTTGTCTTAACTTACGTCTCGCACTGGTTCCTTATCTATCAATAACATCTCGGGTAGGAACCCTTACTTTCTCTCCTTGATGTCGTGCTTGCATAATATTCTAGAACCATACCATATCTGTAGGATTTGAATGAGTGCAATCTCATCCCTTTCTCATTTTTATCGCATTCTTCCTTTACCATTCCATAGTTACTAGAACCACTTAATTCTGACTTAATGCCACATCATACCATATTCCCCCAATAGGGTATAACTGAGATGGGTGTGGCCAATTATACATACCTCTGTTATTGTTGCAGGTAACTCAAAAGGCTTATATTCCGCTGCCTGAATTGTAAATACTAATAATCTTCATTAGCTGGGCGCCTCGTACCCTTCTTCATCTTGTTCTTTTACTTGTTGAAACTTGTATCTATCTTCTGAATCTCTCATTACCTTTCACCATAGGGGTGGATAGATATTCCTGCCTTAAGGCTCCTTATGAAAAGGCTTACATGTCTTAGTACACACATGATCTGCTGAAAACCTTACATTTATCCATCATAAGCATCATGCAAAATCGAGTTCCTATGACTCAACTCTTCCATAGCCACATTCAATCTCTTACCAACTGCCTTTCTGGATGTAGGCGTCGTCGTATTATGAATAGGATAGAGTTTAGGAAATTGAGTTCTTACAACTGAGCTCTACCACGATATCTACCTAAATGCCCTGTAGCCTCCTGCTTATAAGTGTGGTGTACGACACACAAATAAACAAGACTCAACTAGACATAACTTATAGACTCCCTAGGACAGAACTGCTCTGATACCACTTTTGTCACGACCCAAACCGATGGGCCGCGATGGGCACCCGATACTTTACTCAATCGAGTACCAACATAACATATCTTTTTCTATCATACTATCATAGATAACTGAACCGTAGAGGCTGCCGTGAGATAGGTAGAATACAACACGTAATACCAACTTATACATAAGACATATGGGCCTATAAGACCAAAATAACCACTCATACACTGAACATAGATCGACAAGGCCATACAATCTTTTACGTACATAACACCTGTCTACAAGCCTCTAAGAATACATAATTGTCATAAAGGTAGGGACAGAGCCCCGCCATACCAAACAATACATATCTAAATCATACTGACCAAACAAGTAACTCCGGAGCAAATGGAGTGCACCAACATCTTCCGCTGAGCTGATCGCCTACTTGGAGGACTCTCGACCTGTCTATCGAGACCTACGGTCATGAAACGCAGCGTCCCTAGGCAAAAGGGACATCAGTACAAATAATGTACCGAGTATGTAATGCAATATACTGAAAGCTGAAACTGAATTGAAAATATAATAACTGAAAGTAACTGGGAGTCAAAGATAGTCTGAAGATATGCTTACCTGCTGATACTGACTCAACTCTCTTAATATAGTAAGTAAAATAGTTGTCCGGCCCTATAAGGCTCGGTATATTTACAACTGCTCTGCCATAGTAGGCTCGCTCATAGGCGCTCGGCCATACTAGGCTCTGTATCTCGGCCAAATGGGCTCGCTCATAGGCGCTCGGCCACAGTAGGCTCGGTATATAACTTACCATATGATCAGAGGTTGCCCAATAGGGGCCTGCCCATCGATTATAGCTCGATGGTAATGAAAATACTGTAATACTGTATATATAGGCTCTCTGCTCTCTTGACTGGAAGAAGACAATACTCAATTAAATATGAAGTCCCGATAAGGAGAATACTGTAATTTATGAGACTAGGATAACGTATATAAATTCGGGAGTATGAACTTCTCTTTATGCCTCGTTATCAAAAATATGTAATTATGAGATCATGCCAAAATGAAGGAAGGGCTTAGCCTTAATATACCTGGAGTAGGGAAAATTTGTATGATATTCTTGATAAAGATTGCACCCTACTCCCTTAAAATCGCAAAATTTCACGTTGCTAAGGTGCTAAGAAATCTCGTTGGATTGAGGTTGCTAACATTGAAATCCTTGTAGGAATTGGTTGAAGGTGTTATGAATTCTTCTTTATATAAATTCTTAACGTCTGTTTTGTAGTGTTTTGTATTTAACACATCCAAATGAAGTCAAAATGCTATTCTTCTATGTCTTTACAAGTAGAAACATGTAGTGTTTTGTATCTAATCTATTAGTTTGCCACATAACCCATAATGACTAAGAGTCATATGTTTAGGTAGTGGCTTGCTGCCACGTGGGGGTTGGGGTTTTAATATTTATCCCATAATTCATTAGTTAATTTAGGTAATATCCTGTTACCCAATAATTAACCAATTACCCACATAATTAAGAATTATCTCAAATTATTTAAAATATTACTTATTTTTAACACATTTTATGTATCCTACTATCGTGGTCATGGGGTACCTTGTATGGCACTAGTCCATAAATACGGGGTATTATAGCTCGGTCCGTATTTTATCCCAAATTGCCAAACTTTGACGAAACTTATTTTCTTCGATTCGCTTACCCTATCACCTTTACGAATTTACTTATCCCTTGTTTGAAATAGCATAATACTTATGATCCCAAAATAATCTTATTCCCGTGCTTTCATCAATTTATTTATGGCGTACTTTCACGTACGAAAATATGGGGTGTAACATTCATATTGGAGACAAAAGTCAAGATCCAAGGTAATGGAAGAGGATCTTAAAATTCTCTTGGGTTACTTAAATAAGAGCTCATATCTTTTGTACAAGCTAGAGTAAGAGTTCAAAGAAATTACTGAAAAGAATATTAGTTATTTTTGAACAAAGATTTATTGAGCTACTACAAGCATTGTTATGGAAATAAATTAGTATTTCCCAAAGATCTTTATATAAAAGGAAGCTGAAAATAATCTTCACAAGAAAAGATGATATTCATGGTTTGCTCAAGGACGTGATGGACAAAACATTGAAGCTTGAGAATTAAACGAGCATTATTCAAAAGGAAAGCCTTCATTGATTGAAAATTGATAATATTGTCTACTACTCATATTTAAGGAAGTCAAGGAGCATAATTGTCATAATTCTTATGGAAGGAAAGGAAATCAATTTTACCAAGCATTCCTTGAAAGTATTAAGAAGTTCCCTGCAATAGGAAAGGTGATTACTTATTGAATATGCAACAGCCAAGAAAGAAAGAAATACTCCAAGGAAAATCAATAGGCAAGAATCTTCATTCAAGGCAATCAACACTCTCCACGTAAGGCAAGATTGACAGAATCTGATTTTAATTCAAAGATCATGAAGACAAAGTCAAGGAGCGTATTTCAAGACCTTCAAGGAGGATATCCAGCTGCATGGTCAAGTGAAAGAAAAAGTACCCAAGATTAGAAGATTACTCTATTTAGAAGATTACTCTATTTATGAAGAGCATCAGTCAAAATATTTAGATATTCAGTATAAAAGAGAAGGCCCAGCAATTGTTAAAGCATCAGCTTCGCAGACAACTTTCCTACTCTTTCTACACCTTAGACAAGCACGTTATTCTTAAGTTTACAAGTGTCATAAAAGATAGAGAGAAAGGGAAAAATACTGAGAGGTTGTGTCGTTGTTCGTTTCTTCGGTGCGCGAGTGAAAACCAAAGTATCGTTGTTGGTGAGCGAGTGAAAACCAACCCTTTATCGTTTGTTGGTGAGCGAGTGAAAACTAACCCTTGTAAATGTTGGTGGTGAACGCTAGAAACCACAAAAGTTGTACTCAACTGAATTTACATAGAACTCTAAAAGATAACACTCTTGCAACCCAAGAGGACTGGATTAGGATATCACATTGGTTCCGAAAAAATATAAAAATTCCCGGTGTCATTTATTTTATCACTCTCATATTATATTCTGCACTTTACTATTTGTTATTATTTGCATTTGGTTAAATTGAAGGACTAATGATTTTGTGCAGACTGTCTCCGTACCAGTTGACTAAGTGTATACTGTAGTCGACTAAATTTTTATCAGGCATACAATTCACCCCTTCTTGTACTTTCAGTTCTTATTTTAAAAAGTTCTGCAAATATAACTCATGCACTACACAACCAGAAAGAAATAAAAATTTACCTATCATCTCCGGACAACTTAGATTGTCGAGCCTAAAATTCTTCAACAACTTTAAACCATGGGGTCTAAAGTTCATAGTGAACTTGTACAAATAAACCTCCCGGCTCATAATATTTTTATAGTTCCTCTACAACTTTGGACCATCGGGCCTAAAGTTTTCCAATGAACTTGTGTGAAAGAAACCTTCCGACCAACTTCAGACCTCTGTCTACAGTTTGGTCGTAAAATTTATAGTTTCTTCTACAGTTTTAAGCCAAGTGGTCTAAAGTTTTGTCATAATTATATAAGTAGTTCAATTTCTTCTATAACTTAAGACCGTCTGTTAAAGGTCTAAATTTTCCAATTAATTTGTGTGAAACCTTTTTAAAGGTTTGTATGCTAAGATATATTGTTATAAGTGATTTAGGAAATATGTTTTTTGGTAATTGCTTTCGTCTGGACCAAACCAAAAGTGCCTCTAGTAATGATATTCCTTTCTTCCACTTATTTTCAAGTGAATTTAAGTGTTCCAGTGTGATCTTGAACTCTGCAATCATACCCACAAAACTCTGCAAACTCTCACCCCGTATATGGCTTCTTTCCTGAAAATTACATATTTTTTAGTTATTAAGACATGAACAAATTGTATGACTTCTGGCCTCATTTGAGATAAATTTCTAATTTGGACAGTGTAAAAGTGTTGAATATCGTTCAATCTCAATCTGACAATTAATTTGAACAACAAACTGATCATAAATTTGATAGAAGGGAGAAGGAGAAGAGGAAGAGGAAGAAGAGAGAAAAGGCTAGGCACTTCCGCTTATGAAACGGGAGGTTATAATTTGCAAAGATTAAAAAGGGAAAAAATATAAATGATGGCCTAAAAAAGGAGATATCTGGTTAAATAAAAGATTGAAAGTCTGAAATATAACATAAATCAAGAAAAGATAAGAAGAGATGTACATAATTGATAGCTTCTCCTACAGAGAAAGGTAATAATAGTCATTTCATCAAATTACTAATCGTCAATTAAAAAAAAGGGTGTTTGGTTGGTTAGTTTAAAGTAAAAAATTAATGGTCTGGGTTGGTCACTGATGTGTTTCAGTGACCATGTAAAAGATCCTCCGGTTCCAGTTGAATCCCTAACCGATGTTTCAGTGATGCTTGTCCATTGAGCGGTAATTTGCATTTCCTTTGTAACTCCACAAACCTCTGAATATCAAAATTATTCTTTTTGATGAGCTTCCTCTCCCTTGCAAGGAAAAGCCTCTTCAACAAATCTTGGTATGTTGGGTCTCTACAAGTAATGAGGAAGTAAAAATATCCCAATATTAACCCACTACTAGTAGTGAAAAATGTAATTGGTTCCATTACATCCCAAGAGAATTCCCAGAAGGTAAGCCGGAAGAAGAGTCCAATCTGTAATATACCAGCCCCCAATCCAGTCCACAAAATGCGACGCACCTGCTTATGTGCAACCTCATCAATTTTATCCTTCTTCTCCTGCAGATTCTTTAGCTCATCTTTTATATGATCATCTTCACGTAGCAGTGCTAGAGGCACTGCCCTTCTTATTTCATCAACTACCTGGACATATAATTCAGAAACATATATGCATTTATTTTCACATACAAATTAACAAAAGAATGAAAGAAAAATACGTACCTTATTAGGGTGAAGATAAACTTTATCTCTGAAAAGCCAAATTACCCCAGCCTCATCAAGCAGTCTTGCAAAAGCCACAGCCTCGCCTTGTGTTTTCGCCAAACCAATATTCTCACACAGTACTCTCAGTAACTCAGAATACCCAATAACCTCTTTACTCTCCATCCCTAGCCTCGTCTTCAGCTCCTCCACATTCATCAACCTCTTTGCTTCCTCTTGACTACTAATTAACCCTCCATTAATCCCATTCTTCTTTTCTCCTCCGGAACTGAAATAATACCCACCCATAAACCATCCATGTTGATAACTCCGATCCAGTTGCCACTTTGCCCTTGCAGCTGATGTAACCGTCCGTTTCAACAAATAACATGAAGTTTTCCACATGGTTTCAAGTTTTGTTTACAACAGTTTTACGTATAAAGAATGTACGGACAAATATATATTCAAAGACTCGTAAGGCAAACAATCAGGAGAACAGTTATGGCTACGAGAATGACGGACTGCTAGAAAAACCGTTTAAAGGGAGTCCATGAATAGCCAGTAACGGCCCACTAAAACAGAGTTGCAACCATTGGTATTGCACCTGCCAATGCCATTCAGCTTCTTTAAGCTTTATAAAAGGGATTAACAATTTCATTTTAAATATACATACTACTCCACTCAACTATATATGGATATGGAGGCTGATGCAAAAAAAAAAATCAAAAACAATTAAACATATCTTTACTTAACAGAGATGAAATATTAGTTAATACATGAAGGTTATTTTTGTCAATATCAGTTCATTTATTTCTTTCTTTTATAGCCATTCTTGCATGCCTATACATGGCTTATAACCCAATTAGTCAAAACCAACTTTAATTGCACATTTAAGAGATTGTATTTACTGCGCTAGATGTGGTTGTACCTTGTTAGGCATATATAGGAATTAGGACGAGGAATTGGGACGTCGATGCGTCTAAATAATTGCTTAACTTAATATAAAATGGGAGTATAATTCTTCGTTTTATCTTTTTAATAAATACTTAGTATTATATTATTGCCTAAATCATTCGTTGGCAATGTTTTGTTGACAAACAACAGAGGAAGTCAGTATTCTGATATTCTCTTTCCATTATTTTCTCCTTTAAAACATGGTAAAAAGAAGGGCTAATATAAATAATCAAGAATTAAATAAAGGGCACACAAGAACAAAAAGACAAAAGGTAAACGTGAAACATTGAAAATAAGTTTGGTGTTGGAAGTTTCCTGGAAGGTGTTTAGCCTTTGCTGACAATCAATATCCTACAGCCTCTTGGACTCTTGGTCGTGGTATGTCAAATTTCCTCTAGAAGAGAAGATATCTCCTAGTAATGGAAATTGAACTAACATCATTATGATTTGAAGACTTCATTATTAGTGTCATTCCCAAAATCTCACTAATGATCGTGATGCCACCTAACACGCTGGCTAAGTGAACTAATCACACAACTAGCGAGTAAATAGAAGAAATGAAGTATTATATCAAGTCTAAATAAGATTTTTAGCATAAATAAGTTTAAAACCAACACCAATACGCGAAAACAGTAATATAACCCCCAAAAACTGATATCAACGAGTACATGAGCTCTAAGATTGTCAGAATACAGTAGTCTGAAATAAATATAATACTGTTTGAAGTAAACAACGGTCTTAAAACATGAAAGTAAGGTAACTTCGAGGCCAGCGAATGAACAGGTTATACTACATCGAGTCTCCTTAGCACAACGATGATCTACTCCTCAGCTCTGCTAGTGCCAACACTTGGATTTGCAAAAAAAAAATACATAAGTGTAGTATGAGTACAACCGACTCAATGTACTCAGTAAGTATCAAGACTAACATCGGCAAAATAGTGGCAAAATTGATCAATTGATACTTTCTATCGTAGCTTGAACAGTCCATAAATTAATACAACACAAGAATCTAGCATAAACAACAACGCAAAGATGATCAAATACAATTAACAGAGATAATAACATGTTTTCAGATAAAGAATGATCAAAAGCTCATAATAGCACACCAAGTCATCATATAAAAATGATGTACATCATAGAGCATTATTATAAATGCCAAATACATGAGTCTATAATTTGTATGCATAAATAAGACTCGCTCCCATTAACTGACACTCTCTAAGTGTCCAACAAACATGCGCATATAGGGTCCAAGCTACAATGTTTGATCATCTGACTTCGAAGGAACGGATCCAAATTCATACAATGCACATACAACTCACGTGCTAATAACAATAACACTCGCATGGAAAACTCACTTGATACAATACACATCTCGTACAGACAACTCATGTGCATCAGCCTCAGTCCATATGAGAGTTTCCATACACAGAGTATGTGCATAAATGCCATAAATAACATAAATGATGTATATGGACATAAAAAATTTACATGCAAAGACATGTGCATGTGAACAGTGTGACTACAGCTAGAACAAGTATGACATGATGTCACAAATAGCCATTTACACTCAACAAGGTACCAAAAGCCTAAAACATAATTTCTAGCATAATTAAGAGAGTTCACATAGTCACACAAGAATAATAACAAGTCATAAGGAGCATGTGATGTAAATCCAAAGCATGAAGTAGCCTAAAATCTACTCCGAGCATGAATAGCCCATGGCACTTGTATATACACTCACCGCACCGCATATACAATGCTCCCAGTATATAGAAATTAATCAAACAAGATCAATCTTCTAGGGTAAATTCCATCAATCCAAATCTAGACAAGATATTTACCTTTCAAAGCCAAATCAACCCTCCAAATCGCTCTTTCTTTAGAAATTACCTTCAACCGGCTCAATTCTAATCAAATAATACTCAATAAGGTCAAATAAAATCATATGAATCAATTTTAAACAATAATGCTAATCAATTCCCAAAAAGTCAACCCAAACACATATGATCAAAACCAGAGTCTATGGGTAGATCGTGTTTACCCATAACCCCATGAGTCCAAATTTGTGTTTAATTTTTCATTTGGAGTTCATTTGGATACTCAAAACTCAATTTGGATGATTCTAGTCTAGGTCTGAAAAACCCTAATTTCTCTTGTTCAAATTTATATTTTGATATTAAATCTAGAGGTAAATTCATGTATAAACCATAGATTTAGGTTAAAATTACTTACCCCAAGCTTGTAGGTGAAACCCTAGCCTCAAACCTCTCAAATAAGCTCTAGAAGTTAGGAAATAAAAGAAAAATCATAAAACTCGACCTTAAATAGCTCCAAAAAGTTGCTATAAAATTTTGCCCATGTAACCGCAAGACAAGTCTGTGGTCCGCCAAAGTAGAATGTGGGACGCAAATCCACCGTAGAATGAGCTAGCACTCAAGACTATAAAACACCATTTAGTAAAATGACCATAACTACCTATATAAAAGTCGGGATGACTAATGATTTGAACAACTAGAAACTAGACTAAAAGCACTAAAATATAATCAAAACATCATCATACCAAAATTATTTGTTAGATTTGGATAAATTCTCTTTTGAAGTCAGGCCATCTATAGAAAAGCCCTGTTTCAGGAACTCAATTCTTTCGGAACTTGCTCCAAATGTGTTGAAACTCACCCGCCCCCCTCAGGACTCAATCCAATCATTACTAAAAGTTAAAATACCCTATATGGACTAGTCCAAAGTCTCAAAACATCCACGAAAATATTACAATAAAGAATCGTGGCTCAAACCGAATAGAATTTCTCTTAAGTTCTTAATCCTTCATTCTTTCGAAAGAGTGTTCGAGTCACACTTAGACACTTTGGATTAATTCCAAACTTTACACACAAGTTCAATTCAACTATATATACATATCCAAAGTTTTTAACACTAATCGGAGTCCAATAATATCAAAGTCAACTCTTGGTCAAGCTTATTAACTCTTAAGTTCTTCAAATTTTCAACTTTTGATAAATAGTGTCGATCCTTCTAAAAAGATACAAAATGCAATTAGAACATACATATAAGTCCAAAATTATCATATGAACCTATTGGAGCCTTCAAATCATCCATCCGCGGTTATTAATCCAAAAGTAAAACCTTGATCAACTCTTATAAATTAAGGCTTCCAAATAAAAATTATGTATTCCAACTCACTCCCGAACCCTACGAAAATAAAATCACCCATTGCCACAAGTCACATATCATCAAATAAAACTACGAAAAGCAAGAAATAGAGGAAGTGGGTCCTAATATTTAAAATGATCGGTCGAGTCGTTACATTCTCCACCTCTTAAACAAACGTTCGTCCTTGAATGAGTTTAGAAACATACATGAGCTGCTAAAAAGATGTAGATATCTACTTTGCATATCCGACTCAGTCTCCCAAGTATCCTCCTTACTCAGTTAGCCTCTCCAAAGTACCTTCACCGATGCGATCTCCTTTGACCTCAACTTTCAAACCTACCTATCCAAAATGGCCACTGGCTCTTCTTCATGAGCTAGATTTTCATCTAATTGCAATGTGCTGGAGTCCAAAACATGCGACTTGTCTTCATGATACTTCCGGAGCATAGAAACAAGGAATACCGGATGAACTACTAAAAGGCTAGGAGATAAGGCAAGCCTATAAGCAACCTCACCATCTCTCTCCAATACTTCAAATCGACCAATAAACCTCGGACTCAACTTGCCTTTCTTTCCAAACCCCATCATGCCCTTCATGGATGAAATCTTTAGAAGTACTTTCTCACCCTCCATAAATGCTACATCGCAGACCTTCTTATCTGCATAACTCTTCTGCCTGGAATGAGCTGTATGAAGTCATACCTGAATCAACTTACCTTATTCAAATCATCACGAACTAAATCTGTACCCAATAATCGAGCCTCACAAGGCTCAAATCAATCAATAGGAGATAGACACCGCATACCATACAAAGCCCCATATGGAGCCATCTGAATTCTGGACTGGTTATTGTTGTTGTATGCAAACTCTGCTAATGGTAAAAACTGGTCCCGATAACCCCCAAAGTCCATCACACAAGCTATAAACATATTCTCAAGAATATGAATAATCCTCTCGGACTAACCATCTTTCTACAGGTGAAAAGTTGTGTTAAGCTCCACCTATCTGGCTAACTCATGGTGAATAACTCTCCAAAAGTGAGAAGTGAACTGAGTACGCCGGTTCAAAATGATAGAAATAGGCACACCATGTAACCGTACAATCTCTCTGATGTAGATACATGCCAGCTTCTCTGAAGTATATATAGTCAACACCAGTATAAAATGTGCGAACTTGGTCAATCTATCAACAATGACCTAAATGGCATAAAACTTCTTCAAAGTCCATGGAAATCCTACCACGATGTCCATAGTAATACGCTCCCACCTTCACTCCGGTATAACTAACCTCTGAGTCAAACCACCTGGTTTCTAATGTTCATACTTCACTTCCTGGAAATTCAAACACTGAGAAACATGTCCAACAATATACTTCTTCATCTCCTATCACCAATAATGTTGCTTCAAGTCATGACATCTTCGTGACACTTGAATTAATATAATTTCTCAAATTGTGAGCATCTTCAAGAATCAACTCCCTAAAACTGTCAATATTCGGAATACAAATCCACGCCAAAAACCGCATAACACCATCATCTCCAATAACTACCTTCTTAGTACCACCTCGCTGCACCGTGTCCT